CTCACTAGGGACTTGGCTCTTGCTATTAGATGGGAGGGAGCCAGAGGCCACGGTGATGGGCAGCAGCAGCATAAGACCCCAATCCTGCAGATAAACACGCGACCTAGGTCTCCGGGGGGGCATTGTCCCAGCCCTGAGCTCCCAGGAGCAGATTTGCTGATGCTTTGGGTAAGAGCAGAGGGAACAGTCCCCGTATCCTGGCCAAAGGCCAACACGGTGGAGGTGGGGCGGGGAACATCCCCCCGCCCCCCCAGCAGCCTCATGGGCTGCTTGCATCTTCCTCCGGAGCAATCGGTCCTGGAGACAGAGACGCCGGGCAAGAGGCTCTGAGCCACTCTATTTTCTGCCGCAGCTGCGCAGCGTTGCTGTGAGCAGCTCCTGCCAGCCACCCCAGAAGTGGCCGCATTTTGCCAGCGCAGCGGGGTGGGTGGGGCAGGCAGGGGCAGCCCCACAGGGCATTCGAACTGGAGCCTGAGAGGGATTCTCTCCTCCCTCCCGTGGCGTGCAGGTAAACAGTGGCCAAGGGTGAGGTCACTGTGTTTATGTGGAGTCTAGGTGCTTCCTACACACCCCGCCTCCTGCCAGCACGGCCCTGCCCTGCCCTGGGATGGCAGCAAGACAGGAGTCTTTTCACAGGCAGCTCCAGCAGCCGGGGGCGGGTTTGCATCAGACGCTGCTCGTGCAGCCTGGTCGTCCGCCCAGCGGGCTGAGAACGGCCCAACTCATGTCACGCATGGGGGGGGGGCTGGCGGACTCACCCGTGAGCTGGTTGAAGCCCACCTGGCGCAGGGCGTACGTGGCATTGGTGTGGTAGTTGAGCAGCACGAAGAGGGCGTATTTCTCCTCGTAGAGCTGGGTCCCCCGGATGACGCGCAGGCTGCGCAGGGGCAGGTCCGTGAAGATGTTCATGGCAATGAGGACGTAGCCCGTCACTTCCCGGATGGTCTGCGGAGCAGGGGAGGAAAACGCCGTGAGCGCCCACCATGCCCAGACCGCTCCAGCCCTCTCAGCCGGGGTCTGCCCCTGCCCGGCCCCATCCAGGACCCAGGACAGACAAAGGGCAGCTCGTTCACAGGGCTGGGTCGTGGAACAGACACCCAGGTTACTTGAACACTGCGTGAGGATGTGGTTGCCTCATCTCAAAAGAGATCACTTGGCGCTGGAAAAAGTTCAGAAAGGGGCAACAGAAATGATGAGGGGATTGGAACGGCCACCATATGAAGAGAGATTAAAAAGACGGGGAGTTTTCAGCCTAGAAAAGAGGAGACCAAGGGGAGATATAATAGAGGTCTATAAACTCATGACAGGTGTGGAGAAAGGGAAGAAGGAAAAGTTACTGACTTGCCTGCATAACATAAGAACCAGAGGGCACCACAGAAATGAATAGCTAGCAGGTTTAAAACAAACAAAAGGAAGTTTTTCTTCATGTAACTCACAGTCAACCTGTGGAACTCCTTGCCAGAGGATGTTGTGAAGGCTAGGACTTTAACAGGGTTCAAAAAAGAGTTAGATCCATTCATAGAGGTCAGGTCCATCACTGGGTATTAGTCAGGATGGTGTCCCTAGCCTGTTTGCCAGAGGCTGGGAACAGGTGACAGGGGAGGGATCACTTGATGAGTCCCTGTTTGGTTCACTCCCTCTGGGGCACCTGGCGTTGGCCACTGTGGGCAGACAGGACACTGGCCTAGATGGACCTTTGGTCTGACCCAGTGTGGCTGCTCTTATGGTTGTTTTCAGTGCTTGGGAAAGGTGCTGCCAACCTCTGTGTATTGACAGAGCAGGGAGAAAGTCCTCTGCAGGCCCACGTGAAGGCACGCCCGTGTGAACGCACGCTCGTGTGAACGCACGCCCACCACCACATCTGAGCAGCCTGCAATGGCCCCCTTCATGCTGCAGCCAGCTCTGGTTGGTTTCATTCTCCAGTCAGCAGCTGGGAAAGGGACTCAGGGCTCTACCAGCTTAAGGCCTTGTCCACCCTTGCAAGGAGGGGGGGCGCGTTGCACCAAAAGATCCAGGAATTCACCTGTTTCCTGCTTCCGGGGTCCAGCTCTGTGGGTCAATAAAAGGAGAGGCAGAGGATGCCCTTCAGGGCACAGGGGTGTCCCACACTCTCCGGTCTCTGCGCTCTGAACCTGGCGCTGCCTCTCCCCACGGGGGAGCCCCGGTCCAACCGTGAGAGCCTTGGAATTCCCTCCCCTCCCACTTGTGCGATCCCCGTGTCGGAGTGACTGCCAGCACCGGAGAGGGATTCGCACGTGGGTCCGGGGTTGCACACGCACGTGCCCAGAAGTTTGGCCGTGCACTCTCCCAATCCCACGATGCCCCAGCAACCCGCACCTGGCTTGATTCCCCTTGGGGCAGTTTAGAGTCAGAGGCTCCGCTCCTCCGACCAGGGACTTGCTCCTGGGTAGGGCAAGCGAGGGATGGAGGAGAAAGAAAAGTGCCCTTTCACCCACAGCACCCCCTCCTCCACCTGGCCGCATCCCTCCCCCACAGCCAGGTGGCACTGCCCCTTCCCCATACCTCCTTGATATACTAGTGCCCCAGCCACATGGTGCCCTGCCCCACACCCAGGCCAGGCAGGATGCTCAGGCCTCCTGGGCTGAGGCTGGCTGTTTCGCATGGCTCCGGGGGGCTGTGCCCTTCCCCCGGCCGCTCACCTGCAGGAAGGACAGGTTCTGGTTGTGGTCAATGAGCACGATCTCCAGGTTGCCCATGACGATCTCGCAGTGGTTGTACATCTTGTACAGCGTCTGGTACTGGTGCTGGGCGTCGCCCGTCACGCTCAGCCCGTTCAGGGTCCCCGCGCACACTGCAGGGAGGAGAGCGCAGGCGTGAGCACCACGCAAGGGCTAAGCTCGCGCCCGCCCAAGTCACCCCCCGCCTGCCTGGCTGCGGGGGGCCGCCTGGCAGCACCTGGGGGCCAAACACTGTTGCAACGAGTGTTCTCTTTGGCACCAGGCCTGGCTGGTCCTTCACGCACGGCAGCGGGGGGAGCTGGCTGGGCCGCTTTTGCGCACTCACCCCCAGCCTCCTTCCCTGGCTGCCTTCCAGCGGATACTCCTG